AGTGGCGCTTGTCATATGATAAAGATGAGGAGAGAAGAGGTGCGTTTGACTCAACGCAGCGCTGTGCAGATCGATCAAATTCTGACTTGAAGCAGTGCATGCCGGTTAGCAATTTTGTCTGACGCCATGTAACTGTCACGTGTGGCATCAAAGTGCCGCAAGAGCGATTCGAGAGATCTGACTCAGCCGGCGTAGTTTCTCCAGAGCGACTGCAGGAGCTCTGATGATGAAACAACTGTTGCATGATTGGCCAGATTCACCGCATGACGAGGATCGTCTCAGGTTACGTATGTAACCATGGTTCCCGGAGTAGGGAATGAGACACTGCGTCCTCTAGGGGTCGTTATGGGGAACGCCTCGTCGTGACCCATGTCTGAAGCATACATTCAAAAAATACCAACAGCACGTTGGCCGGCGATAGCCATGACGTCATTACCGGTGCGACTATAGTATAAATAGGCGCCAGGAGAACCCATCATCCACTTCTTCGTCTGAAGCTTGCATCCAAAACATGGCAAGAAACCTAGAGGACGCAGTGTCTCGTTCCCTACTCAGGGAACCGTGATTACATACGTAACCTGAGACGTTCCCTTTCAAGGGAACTTCGAACTGCGTCCTCTAGGGGAACGGTATACCCACGCCACCATGCTGAGGGGAGTGCATGCAGGATTTACCATTTACCATACAGGATTTAAGAAAGAACCCAGGGTACTAGCGTGTAAACTTACCACAGTGTGGATTTTAGAAAGTGTACAAAGACTAACGTGCACACTCACCATAACATGGATTTAAAAACCATTCTAAGGGGCCCTCGTGGCACTCTGAAAGAGCAGCCCATAGATGGAAATGGTGCATCCCAAAACACTATGTTTGAGAAGTCATCAACTCGATCTAAGGTATACTGCTGGAATGGCTAGCAGTAAATCTCTAGCTGAGGGAGCAATACACCCAGCTCTCAACGAGAGGGGCTCAACCTACAGCTCGATCGTTAGAAATCAGAAGGGTAAGCGTACTGCAAGCTAGCCAGAAAACTCGGCGCATCAGAGAGGCAGAGGAAAGGCCTAGTTTGCCTGATGCTGCTGGTTCCAGGTGCTCTGGGAAAGCAGAGAACTAAATCAACTCAGAGAAAAGGAACGAGGCTAATAACGCGTAACCCTTACCATACAGGATTTCAGAAAAGTGGGCAAAGCATAACGTGCACACTTACCACTATGTGGATTTTAGAAAGTGCGCAAAGCATAACGTGTGTACTTACCATAGTATGGATTTAAGAGTTTTCCAAGCATCTGTTCACAGATACCCGTAAGTACTGAGCAAAACGGGAGAAGCAAGCTCAAATACGACCCTCTAAGGCGAGGGGAGCACTGCCTGAGACAGCATTACACAAGAAGGTTCTCGCAAATGCTACCTATACTTCCCGCTCGATGCCTCAGCAAGAGGGGATATCCTGGTGATCAGGAGGCCCCTCAGGGCGACCTAGATATGGTAAACCAGACAGGGCAGCCTGAAAGCATAAGCCCAGCCCGGACGTCCAGGAAATTCTGCAGATTCTCGATGTTGGCATAACTCGTATGCTGGAATCAATGGATGCGTGAGGAAAACGTATGGAGATCAGGAAGAAAGGAAGGCTCACCTGAGGTGGAGGGTTATGGCCAGAAAGATAACGTTCATCGAGACGACCTTGTGGCGTCACTTTCTTTGCCCGCTTCCACATCAAGTAAAGCCTCGCCGTGGCGCAATCCATAACTTTCAAAAGCTCATCATGCGCAGGGCAGGAGGATTGGGAAGGCTCAGCCTCAGCTTCGCCCTCCTCAGACATTTCCAGCTTTTGCTGGGCTGATCCCAGCAGAGCACTGGCCGCTGAATCAGACAATGTTTATGAAATAACATCATCCTCCAGCGGCTCACTCTCGTCCACAGCTGACGATCGCGAGAGGGAAAACCCCTCTTCAAACTCATCGGCCAGATCCACCTGCGATCCCCACGAGGTCATTCCCTTCCGTGCCTCAGCAGCGGCGGGTCCTGGATCGCGGGAATCAGATGGCTGCCCCTCTTTCCTCGAAAAGAGAGACAAACGTGAGTGGAGCTTTTTCATTGGAAAACGCTCGCAGTGCACGCCGATTGCACCCTCGGAGACATTGTGTGCGTGCTCTTCGCCCAAACAAACAATGCATAGATCGTGTGTGTCATCAGATGTTAAATAACGACGACACGGATCCACACATCCTCTAAACGCTTTGCTAGTGCTCGCCATAATGAGATGAATAGAGATCGCTCTTACCACTGAAATGCACGCTTCAAACAAAACAGTCAGTGAAGATGAAGAAGAGGATGATGTGTTCTCCCGGCGCCTATTTATACTATAGTCGCACCGCTAGTGACGTCATGGTGTTGTTGGTGTTTTTCCATATAGCGACCCCTAGAGGACGCAGTTCAAAATTCCCTGGAAAGGGAACACATGTGTTTCAGGTTTAATCTATCCATTTCAATTCCAATAATGGCCACAAATCTGTGTTTTTAGAAGAGTAAAAGCTTTTTTACTGTAGTTGCAATGTTATATTGAGTCCCGTTTATCAAAAAACACTGATAAAAGCATTTGTACCCCCACTTTATTAGTATTTAAATAGTAGATATTTACGTTGAACTTAATACAGCGCCATTTGTTCAAGAATAAAGCAGTACATAAAAAGTGTTTCTGTTGCTCATGAAAACATTTCTGAAACATCTGTGTATTTGACAAATATTGCATTTAGTTCACTTCATCTGTGGTAGAGTATGCAAACACCGCGCGAGCGTCACTAACGGGAGCAGAAAGTGTACGGCTTGACGTGTCTGTTTTTAACTCCGCCCCCGACTGCTACTCTCATTGACCGCCGTCTGTTTCCGTGCTTCAAGTCGAACGCACCTAGGTGTGTTCAACTTCAAGCGGTGCTGCGCAGACTGACTGGTGTAGGGCAGAGGAGCCTAACCTAGTTCTCGAAGCTCTACCTACCTGCAGAGTTCAGCTCCAACCCTAATCAAACACACCTGTCTGTAATTTTCAAGTGTTCCTGGGGATCTTAATTAGCTGGTTCAGTTGTGTTGAATTAGGGTTGGTGCCTAACTTTGCAGGGAGGTAGATCTTCAGGTATGGGAATGAGCACCCCTGCTGTATAGGGCTGTGTATCACCAGCAAAGTCACGATACGATACGTATCACGATACATGACTGCACTGAATTTGACCTCAGAAGAATTTAGTAAAACAGCTGTTTATTAAACACTGCTTACTAAAGTGCCACTTCTAACTATTGGCAGAGCAGGCAGTTGACCTCTGCATTATGAAGGGCCTCCATAACTGTACCACAGTCTTCTGTATCTAATGCACACACGCTCAGTCACTCACACAGATCACGTTGCGGCTGAACTCAGACATTCAGGAACAAACTTTTTGGCGCTGCCCCGCAATTTGATCAACTAAATAGCTTAATTGCTCAAGAGCTACATTATCTTTCTCAACAAGGAGCTGGTAGCATCATTGTTTCTAAAGGAATTAAAGCCACGGCTTCGCTGTTAATAGAGAAACACGGCAAAACGGTGGTAATTCATACATACACAGCCTCTCTCTCTCTCTCTGTGTGTGTCGTAAATGTAGCGAATTAGCTCATGGGGAAATATGAATAATTAACCATAACTAGTTATGATTAACTATTCATATTTTAGATCCGCTGTAGATATTTAGCTGACCACTCAGGGTCAACTGTCTTGTCAATTCTAAGAACGTTAATTTCCTGGTTAAGGTCGCTAAACTGCAAGCTAACCGCTGTTTTCAGAAAGCAAGCGCATTTATCCACAGTGAAGAGAGAGCGCGTGCACATGGTTGCCAGGTTGACAAAGATAACTAGCACACCTAGCAGATATTTCCGTATTGCGCAAGTGTAAAGCTCTGTTTCGGGGATTACGTCTCTTTATATCAGGCAACCCCGGTTGTGTTCTTCTGCAGCCAGATTAAACCTTGTTGTAGCCTATGTATTATGCTCTATTCATATTTATCCTCGCACTTTTCTACTCTATTTTAAAGGTGCTGTATGTAGGATTGACACTGAGTGGTTGAACTAGGTATTGCAGTCCAAATTCTAAATATTGGAGAGGGTTTTTTTCACCTGGCCCCTCCTCCTCAGACTTGACGCACACGCAGGTTGCCAGATTGACGACACCAACAGGAAATGAAATACGCTGTGTTTTCCGCCAACTGGCAACCCGGGGTGCCGAAATACAATTGGGTAAACTGCCAGTGGGCGGGTTTCACAAACCAAAACAGAGACCGACATTCCGGCCCGGAACGCACATTTTCAAAGGAGAATAACTGACTGTAGCATTGTATTTCAGATAAACAAGTATGTTAACTTAGCATGTTTCTTAAATATCTGCAAACATATTATGGTATTTTTATGCTTTAGTAGAGTCAAAAACGTACATACTGTGTTCTTGTATTCAAATTAAGCGTGGTCCACTGCTGCACACGTGCCGCGATATCGATACTGAGAAGGCTGTATCCATACTCGTATCGTCAAATCTCTGTGACGATACATCGATGTCATACAGCAGTAGTGCTGTGTTCGATACATCGAAGTACTTCACAGCAGGAAAATAACGGGCAAAATAAGGGACGCTCAAAATATTGGTACTGTATCTAGTGTGTGTATATATATATATATACTGTATATATATATATATATATATATATATGTGTGTGTGTGTGTGTGTGTACAAAAGCTGTATAAATTATAAAATTTATATAATTAATCATAAATTATGTATAATATTATCAGAAATAATCACATTTATTTTGTTTAACCTATTTATGTACAGTTATTCTAAAAATAATTAATAGAAAAAAAAAATCTATTAATATTTTTAATGATTAACATCTCAGATTGTTGGAATGTCTCTCAACCAATCAGATTCACAAAACTAACTAGACTAAAACTAACTGTTGTATAATTTCGAATAATGAACTCACCTCAATAGCTGCTTCTCTCATAAACTGTTTAGCTGCAGCATGCCAGATAGCAGGAACAGTCAAAATCCATGTAATATCAGATGCAATGAACCTCTTTTCTGACGTGTTCATTTCGATCCTTTTAAGTGCATGATCCTTTAAGTACTGCAGACTCTCAGAAAAAACGGTCATTGCTTTCATCTGTTCTCCATTTTTTGCAGTTATCATCAAATTCCTATTAACTTCCTTTGCAGACAGGCAATAAAAAATAAAAATATAAATAGACAAAAGCAAAACTAGAAAAACAGCTCTCTCTGATTACATTACATGCCATTACAATATCAATAATGAAGGTAATGAATGAAAAACTAAAAACTTACTTTATCATAGAGCACCATTTTGAAGTGTTCAAATAGAAACTCTTTTTTTGCCTGTGTTTTTGTAGTTGACCGTGTGTATGTCAACATGGCTTCATAACCAAATTTCAGAAACTTCTTTTCTTCATCAAACAAAATGCAAGTGGGGGTTTTTGAGGTTTTTTCACCATTTTCTGTAGTCCACAAAGACACCCTAACAGTATCTTTCACGTCTTTAGCAAAACTAAAGGCATATCCACTGTATGATGTCCCAAAATCTATTGCAATGTAAAGAAGTGAATTTGCCATAATGTGATTAGATCTGTGTATGAGATCTTGTGTGATTCTCTTTCTCTGTCACTCTGTCTTTTATACTCATTGAACTTGCTTTCACTTTTGTTTATACGCCCACTGACGAAAAGGGTGTAGTTACTATCGGAATATATATAAAAGAAAGTTATTATTCATTTTAAATCACTGACCTCAAGCAATGTTGTAGAACATAATATTCATTTGGCGTAAGACCCAATTAAGATATTTGTAAAAAGCAGTCAACATTTTATCAAAGGATTTCTCTATTTTCTACGTACATTTAAGGAAAAAATCCAAAGGAAAATTAACATCAAAATAAGGTAAGACAAAAAGCAAATTTTATAAGTCCACTGAAAACATATCTTCTTAAATTTTTGGTCATAGACACAACGTATGTTGAAGAAATATGTTATTGTCAACATGCCTAAGAGGTCAATTAAAAAAAAAAAGTTGATAAAAAAATTTGTAATAATAACAAACATCAGGAAAAGAAAAACACATAAATCCTCTGAACATTTTGAACATTAAGATGTTACCGTTCCTTTTGTTTTGCGTATGCTCGTGTCGCTTGCAGTTAAAGTCCTTCTCTGATTTTATTGTTGCTTGGTAATATTTTAAAGATAATTTGGGTATTTTATATGGTCTGTTATTGGAGTATTGTCACCCGAGTGGGAGTTTTAACTCCTGTTCACGGGGAATAAAAAAGAATTATAATAATTTAGCAGATGCAGAGACATATAGACCAGGGGAATCCCCCCATATTATGTATCATAATAGAACTATGTGTAAATGTTATTTGGAACTTGGAAAACCAGTTATATTTTTCTAGCAATCGGATAACAATGAATAAACCTGAAACGACAGAAGAAGAATTGGATGAATTTAATTTACAAATAAGGTAGGAAATGTGCATACTTTTTAAATCGACACCTGCCATGGTGTTTCTTATTTGTCACCTTATTTTGTCATCTATGATCCCTCATTGAGTGTGTCCTAAAAGCCGATTTTATATAATCATTATAATTATTATTTTCAATAATGCAATTGAAAACATAATCCCATTAATATGACAGTACAATGAATACAATGATAATACAATTAATGGCACAATTTCCATATT